AGTCAATTGCAAAAGGCGGCCTTACTAGGAACTGCTTCCATCCTGTGACGAGATCTGTAATACCATCAAACATCCACATCTGCCTATCCCAGGTCCTTGGGAAGGACTCGATAGGTAGACAAAAATGCCAAATCCAGTCTGAACATCTGGCTGACTGTGCGATGATCCACAATAATAATAATAATAATAATAATAATAATAATAATAATAATAATAATAAAGTTGGAAGGGACCTTGGAGGACATCTAGTCCAACCCCCCTGCTCAGGCAGGTAACCCTATACCATTTCGGACAAATGGCTGTCCAGTCTCTTCTTAAAAACTTCCAGTGTTGGAGCATTCACCGCTTCTGGAGGCAGGTGGTTCCACTGGTTAATTGTCCTCACTGTCAGGAAGTTTCTCCTTAGTTCTAATAATAACAATAATAATAATAAAGTTGGAAGTGACCTTGGAGGTCATCTAGTCCAACCCCCTGCTCAGGCAGGAAACCTTAGACCATTTCGGACAAATGGCTGTCCAGTCTCTTCTTAAAAACTTCCAGTGTTGGAGCATTCACCGCTTCTGGAGGCAGGTGGTTCCACTGGTTAATTGTTCTCACTGTCAGGAAGTTTCTCCTTAGTTCTAGGTTGCTTCTCTCCTGGATTGGTTTCCATCTGTTGCTTCTTGTCCTGCCTTCAGGCGCTTTGGAGGATAGGTGGACCCCTTCCTCTTCTTCTTTGTGGCAGCCTCTTAGCTTCGTTATTTAGCTTGTTATATTATTTTGCTTGCTTTGCAGCTTCTCATTACTAGTCCTCAACCTCAACGGCAGCTTGGGGAGATGTCCTTTTTGCAGCTCTCGCTATTATTAATTCTAGGCCACAAAAGTCAATTTTATCCAACTCTGCTTCCCGTTCTTAAATTTATGAATGGCCAGAAGCCAGCCGGTCCACCCTGAAAGGTCAGTCCTTCTGGATAGGGAGCAAAAAATAATAATAATGGAGAAAGTAACTTGAGATTGGTCGAATTAGCATTTTCCTTAATGGACACTAATTTGGAGCTAGCCTTCTCCAAGCAGCTTAGATTTTTCTGCTTTGGAAAAAGGCTGAACGCGCCAGCTGCAAGCTTTTTAAAAATTAAAGAGAGATTTCTCTCTTGCTTTTTGCCCCAGGCAGGCATAACATCCTCCAAATTGATGGGCATTCTGGGTGTCAGCAGGAAACAAAACGCCCGTGGACAAGCCCTTATTTTTTTTTAATGCTTAATTCTTTTATTTCCTTTTAAGGTGGGGCAAAGCTCGTGGCTCTTGTCTCCCCCCAAATTGCTGACGTTGGAATCAACTGTAAAATGAAAGTACGGTGCTTATTCCTAAATCAGACTCCTTTAGGGCTAAATTTAAAAGCCCCGGTGGCAGATCCAGGAATAACTTGAAAATACGGGTAATCCTCGACTTGCGACGCTGCGTTCAGTGACCGTTCAAAAGTCACAACGGCACTGGAACAAAAGGGGTTTTGTGGTCGATGTGCGGCAGCGGCAACAATCGGCCGTAAGTATGGAAAAACGATCATAAGTCTGCCAAATGGACAGCCCTTTGTCTGAAATGGCATAGGGTTTCCTGCCGGAGCAGGGGGTTGGACTAGATGACCTCCAAGGTCCCTTCCGAGTCTGTTATTCTGTTATTCTTTTCCTTCCTTCCTTCCTTCCTTCCTTCCTTCCTTCCTTCCTTCCTTCCTTCCTTCCTTCCTTCCTTCCTTCCTTCCTTCCTTCCTTCCTTCCTTCCTTCCCTTCCTCCTTTCTCCAACACTGGAAGTTTTTAAGAAGAGACTAGGACAGCCATTTGTCTGAAATGGCATAGGGTTTCCTGCCTGAGCAGGGGGTTGGACTAGATGACCTCCAAGGTCCCTTCCGAGTCTGTTATTCTGTTATTCTTTTCCTTCCTTCCTTCCTTCCTTCCTTCCTTCCTTCCTTCCTTCCTTCCTTCCTTCCTTCCTTTCTTCCTTCCTTCCTTCCTTCCTTCCTTTCTTCCTCCTTCCCTTCCTCCTTTCTCCAACACTGGAAGTTTTTAAGAAGAGACTAGGACAGCCATTTGTCTGAAATGGTATAGGGTTTCCTGCCTGAGCAGGGGGTTGGATTAGATGACCTCTAAGGTCCCTTCCAACTTTATTGTTGTTGTTGTTGTTGTTGTTGTTATTAAGTCACTTTTTTCCAGTGGCGTTGTACCTTTGAACAGTCACTAAACAAACTGTTGTAAGTCAAGGACTATCTCTAGTCTGCCCGCTCATTTCTGTGGGTTCCTCGCCGCTCTCCGAGCTTGGCGGTTTTCTTGCAGACGTTTCACAACCCAACTAGGGAACATCATCAGTGCTAGAAGGAAGGAAGGAAGGAAGGAAGGAAGGAAGGAAGGAAGGAAGGAAGGAAGGAAGGAAGGAAGGAAGGAAAAGGAAAGACTGTGGGGTCCTTGGTGCTCTCCGAGCTGGGCGGTTTTCTTGCAGACATTTCACGACCCAACTAGGGAACATCATCAGTGCTAGAAGGAAGGAGGAGGAGAAGGAAGGAAGGAAGGAAGGAAGGAAGGAAGGAAGGAAGGAAGGAAGGAAGGAAGGAAGGAAAGACTGTGGGGTCCTGGGTGCTCTCCGAGCTTGGCGGTTTTCTTGCAGACGTTTCATGACCGAACTAGGTAACGTCATCAGCACACTGAAAAGACTGACATTATAAAAAGTGGTTGAGATTAAGCACTTTTTGCGGTGTTCCTCTTGTTCTCTGTCTCTTGAGTATCCCAGTTCTTCCTTCCTTCCCTCTTCTTCCCTTTTTCCTTCCCTTCTTCCCTTCCTAACACAACCGTGTCTTGACAACATGCCTTTAAGCACACATTGATGAAAACAAGGCCAGTGCGATAGGTTCATTTCGTTGTTCCTCTAAGCGTCTGAATTTTTCGTCACGTGGAGGATGCCGCAACGGTTGTAAGTGTGAAAAACGGTCATAAGTCGCTTTGGAACGGTCACTAAACCAACTCTTGTAACTGGAGGACCGCCTGCACAGCGAAACCCGGTTTTATGGTCCGTCCACCGGAGGGTTTTGGGTGCGAAGGACAACATCCTTGCACGGACCTTCACTTATTTCCAAAGCAGTCCTTACAATTGACACTCTCTCTCCCCCCCCCTTTGCCATCGTTTGCGTAATTCCCTAATTGTGGCCATTAACTTCATTTGCGGCCATTTACCCCACTCCCGCATTGTCGTAATTTCATAAATGAATAGACGGGACACCAGCGACTAAATCACACCCGTTACCGCGTGATGTAAATTAAGCTAATTTTGCAAAAATAAAAAAATAAGAACCGCATTTCGTGTGTATTTAACGGACACCGGTTTCTCCTAATTGCTCGGTTAAAAAATAATTGGGGGTTTTACCGTACGAGAGACTCCATCATCTTTTCCCACCCAGCCAAGAAGGGGGGGAGAGAAAAGAAAGAGGGGAGGGGAAAAAAAAAAGCATGTTTCTCTCTTCCTCTTTGATTCCTTAATGGGGTTTCCCCAAATTTGAACGGGCCCAGGGAGAACTTTGAAGTCACCCGTGGAAGGAATAAAAAGGGCTCTCGTTGTTCCACTTGGATATATGCCCGTTAGTACTAATTGTTTCATAAAGCAATCAGTTTATTCTCTTGGTGTTTCTCTTGCTTGAGCAGGGGGCTGGACTAGAAGACCTCCAAGGCCCCTTCCAGCTCTATTCCATTCCATTCTATTCTATTCTGGCTGCACTGGCTGCCAGTGGCCTTCCGGGTACGCTTTAAGGTGCTAGTCACCACCTTTAAAGCGCTCCATGGCATCGGTCCTGGCTATCTCCGAGACCGCCTCCTGCCGCAGATTCCCTCCCACAGGCCGGTACGCTCCCACAGAGCGGGCCTCCTCAGGGTGCCGTCGGCCAAGCAATGTCGGCTGGCGACCCCCAGGNAGGGATAATTGTTAATGATTTTAAAGTTTCAGGGGATTTTTAAGGATAATTTTAATTGATCGGCCTATTTAAATATTTCTTTTTAATTCGGCTTTTAATTATTGTATTTGTATTGTAGTTTTATGAGGCTGTTAGCCGCCCTGAGTCCCATGAGGAGAAGGGCGGGGTATAAATTAAATTATAAATAAATAAATAAATATTCTGTTCTACTCTATTCTACTCTATTCCATTCCATTCTATTCTGCATTCTATTTTGCATTCTGTTCTGTTCTGTTCTAGTCTAGTCTAGTCTAGTCTAGTCTAGTCTAGTCTATTCCATTCCATTCCATTCCATTCCATTCCATTCTATTCTATTCTATTCTATTCTATTCTATTCTATTCTATTCTATTGTTCCGTTACGTTACGTTCTATTCCATTCCATTCCACTCTATTCTGCATTCTATTCTATTCTATTCTATTCTATTCTATTCTATTCTATTCTATTCCATTCCATTTCATTCCATTCCATTCCATTCCATTCTATTCTATTCTATTCTATTCTAGAAATATAGAAATGTAGGATGAGACCAACATCTGCAAAACCTGTGGCCGGCATCCAATATTTATTTCTCTTTCGTCCCTTTTTGGCGGATGTCTTCCCTTTTTCTGTTTTTAAATTATTCCTGATTTTGCTTTCCATCATGCCTTTTCAGCTCCTCAATCAGAATAGAGCTGGAAGGGACCTTGGAGGTCTTCTAGTCCAGCCCCCTGCTCAGGCAGGAAACCCTATACCAATTCAGAGAAATGGCTGTCCAGTCTCCTCCTAAAAGCTTCCAGTGATGGAGCATCCACAACTTCTGGTGGCAAGCCGTTCCACTGATTAATTGTCCTCACCGTCAGGAAATTTCTCCTTAATTCCAGGTTGCTTCTCTCCTTCGTCAGTTTCCATCCCTTGTGTCAATCAGTCCCAGTTACAGTCGTAAGTCGAGAACTACCGGTAGATATTTTAAATAGGATCCTGCCTAATTTCTAATACCTGATTCCATGGGACAAATAAAATATCCTTTTGTGTTCCTTCCCGTGTCCTGTTTCTTCCGATCTTTGCCAAAGGCAGAGACAGCAGGATGCAGATTTTAGTCTATCTATAGTGTGTTTTTGTTTTCTTTTTTAAAACTAATTAGCAGCCCCAGATGCCAACTTGGAGGTTGAGGACACAGCGCTCCAGGTAAAGTTATTTAATTGTTAACTTGGCTGCTTTTTTCCCCAAATATTAAATCCCCCCCCCCCCAGTCTAGGCTTCCTGCAGAGCGTGGTGGTTCTGATTATTCTGGAACCCTATAATTTCGTGGCTTTGAAAGAAAACGCCGTCCTTGCGATGGTTCGGAGGCTTCTCTAAAATTCCCCTTTTATTTTGTTCCCAGGCCGTTTCTGCGTATTACAAAGGCGGATTCGAAGCGAAAATGAACGTTCGGGAGGCTAGCCTGATTTTAGGCATAAGGTAAGCCTTTTGCCTCGAAACGAGGATTTCCCTGGAAGAAAGAACAGCCATGAAATTCGCAGGCAGAACTTCCCGCTCAATAGCTATAGACAATTCGAAAATAAATGCCATTTTATAGCTTCTGCACTTCTGTAGCGCCCTTAAGTTTGTATCTCTTCATAGAGGGTCTTTTGAGTCTGTTATTCCAGGCCAGGGGTAGGCTACCTTGGCTCTTTTATGACTCGTGGACTTCAACTCCCAGAATTCCTCAGCCAGCATGGGGGAACTATGGCCCCTTCATGACTGGTGGACTTCAACTCCCAGAATTCCTCAGCCAGCATGGGGGAACTATGGCCCCTTCATGACTCGTGGACTTCAACTCCCAGAATTCCTCAGCCAGCATGGGGGAACTATGGCCCCTTCATGACTCGTGGACTTCAACTCCCAGAATTCCTCAGCCAACATGGTGGAAACTTTGGCCCCTTCATGACTGGTGGACTTCAACTCCCAGAATTCCTGAGCCAGCATGGGGGAACTATGGCCCCCTCATGACTGGTGGACTTCAACTCCCAGAATTCCTCAGCCAGCATGAGGGAACTATGGCCCCTTCATGACTGGTGGACTTCAACTCCCAGAATTCCTGAGCCAGCATGGTGGAAACTTTGGCCCCTTCATGACTGGTGGACTTCCAACTCCCAGAATTGGGAGGAAAAGAAACACGAGGAAATGCTTAGCACAGGTTTTATACCTTCATTTAAAATATTAACTCTAATGTCATTTAAAACGTGCATACAGGTTTAAACGTGACACAGAAACTACAAATCTATTTCACTCAAGAGGAGAAAAAAAACAAACAAACCCCGGAGCAGATAGAAGTTTTCTTATTTGTGGCGTTAGATATTAAAAATATCCCAAAATCATTTCCAGTTTTTTTTTGTTTTTTAAAAATTTCTTAAAAGGTGTAGTACTGCCTTTCACCACCAGATGGCAAAGATCCCTGGAATTTTAATGTTTTTTATGCAATTTGTTAGTTTTCCCCCTGCAAGGCTCCTGATTTACGATAAGCGCTCTAAATATATATATTTACAGCCCATCTGCTGGCAAGGCCAAGATTAGAAACGCTCACCGGAAAATCATGATTCTGAACCACCCGGACAAAGGTACGTTTTGTGTTTGATAAATATTTGTTGGATGAAAGTACCATCCCATTGCTCTCTCTCTCTCGTTCATTATTACTCTGTAATTAATCTCCGGCCAGATTTTATGCAGCCCATTTCAAAGCAGACCCTTAAAACGTTTCCATAAAATGCTCGAATAAAACAGATCTAGCCTTCTAAGTCAGTTTTAAAAAAGGCCCATTCACCAAATCTCAGCCCTAACTAGCTGTCAAGTATCTATGGAGATGCTCAAGTACTGAATTTCTGGAACTGGATATGTCCAATTTAGGTTTCGAAGGGAGGAAAATATTAGCCATATCATTGATAAATAATTTTCTTGAGCAGAGTCTTTACAGTCATAAATAAGGGATATAGATAGATAGATAGATAGATAGATAGATAGATAGATAGATAGATAGATAGATAGATAGATAGATAGATAGATAGATAGATAGATGATAGATAAACAGACAGACAGACAGACAGACAGATGATAGGTAGGTAAGTAGATAGATAGATAGATAGATAGATAGATAGATAGATAGATAGATAGAGGTAGAGATATATAGATAGATAGATGATAGATAGATAGATAGATAGATAGATGTAGATATATATATATATATAGATATAGATATAGAGATAATAGATAGATAGATAGATAGATAGATAGATAGAGATAGATAGATAGATAGATAGCTATAGAGATATAGATAGATAGAGATATAGATAGAGATGATAGATAGATAGATAGATAGATAGATAGATAGATAGATAGATAGATAGATAGATAAACAGACAGACAGACAGACAGACAGACAGACAGACAGACAGACAGATGATAGGTAGGTAAGTAGATAGATAGATAGATAGATAGATAGATAGATAGATAGATAGAGGTAGAGATATATATATAGATAGATGATAGATAGATAGATAGATAGATAGATAGATAGATAGATAGATAGAGATAGATAGAGGTAGAGATATAGATAGATAGAGATATAGATAGATATAGATAATAGATAGATAGATAGATAGATAGATAGATAGATAGATAGATAGATAGATAGATAGATAGATAGATATACAGTAGATATAGATAGATAGATAGATATAGATATATATTGAGACCAATGTTATAAAATGACAAATTTGTATTAGTTTGTACTGCTGCCAAAGACTATATCGCTTGTCACAGATGTTTTAATGAGCCAAGTTTTTTTTTAATGAAAACAGATCTCCCCGAAAAAGCTCTTATTATAACTTTAACTACACTACAGCTGGTTGAGAAGGAAGCCCATATGTTCATTGATGTACTCTGTACTTGGAAACAACAGATGGTTGACAGTTGCACAGTATTTAAAAAGCCCAAACCGGGGTGGGGGAGTGAAGTTTTTATATATATATATATATATATCTGGCTGACAGATTTATTGTCTGTTCCTTTTCATTGCAGGAATATAAAATTAATTCTGACCTCATTAGGGTGAAAGGTGTAGCTGGCGGTTGATTTCGCCCGATGGTGCTGATTTAATAAATGACGTTGTTGGGAGTTGTGTATGCGTCGGGCTTGGCGCAGGCACGGGCAGAAATAAATCTGGATGTAAACAAGGATGATTTGGGATGAAACAAGGATCTAAGACTGCCACTCTGGCTTAATGTGGCAAGCTTGGATACTGGGAGATCTCCTGGGCCGAGAGAGGGACTTAACATCTTAGTTGTTTTAAAGAGATTTTTTTTCCAGTAAGTGCAGTAAAATGTAGGAAGAAGAGAGCAGGTTTTGCTGATTAGATTTAATATCTCTGGAGCCCTGTCTTTTAATTTTTTTATATTTGTAGAATTATATCGGTGGGGTCCTTAATGCTCTCCGAGCTTGGTTATTTTCTTGTAGACGTCTACGGGGGATTCTCGAATCGTCCAGGTCTTGGATGTCCCAAAGGGGCTTTTTCAACAGACAACTGGGCGTTCTTAGCTTTTTTTCCTTGAAGATGTTTCGCTTCTCATCCGAAAAGCTTCTTCAGTTCTGACTGAATGGTGGAGGATGGAAGATTTACGTGCCTCGCAGTCATCTGGTCATTTGCGCTCCCTCCGAGTATCATGGAGGCCACTTGGACAGATGAACAGATCAAGCTCCAAGTAGCCTCAGCGACTCTCAGACGACTGCGAGGAATATAAATCTCAGGGGCTGCCCCAAAGAAGAGGGAGTCAAGCTATTTTCCAAAGGGCCAGAAGGCAGGACAAGAAGCAACGGATGGAAACCGATCGAGGAGAGAAGCAACCTGGAACTAAGGAGAAACTTCCTGACAGTGAGAACAATTAACCAGTGGAACAACCTGCCTCCAGAAGCGGTGAATGCTCCAACACTGGAAGTTTTTAAGAAGAGACTGGACAGCCATTTGTCTGAAATGGTATAGGGTTTCCTGCCTGAGCAGGGGGTTGGGCTAGATGACCTCCAAGGTCCCTTCCAACTTTACTACTATTATTATAAATCCTTCTGTCCTCCACCCTTCAGTCAGAACTGAGGAAGCTTCCGGGATGAGGAGAGAAATGTTTTCAAGGAAAAACAAAGAGAGTCCAGTCTGGGCCTCTTGAAAAGGCACCTTTGTAGATGGTTTCGTTCTGTTCCAGCCGACGGACATCCTTGTTACTTCACAAAGACAACCCCTCTTTGAACAGTAGCCTGGAAAATTAAACCCTTTTGATTTGAGTTACAGACCTGATCATTGTCCCAGAAAAAACAAAGCAACAGCACACTTTTCCGACACTTTTTCCAAAAGTAAAAAGGAGCACGAGTCAAACAGGAAATAACTCACAGGCAAAATAAACAGACCACGATCTCTTGACACTGAAGTTCTTTGCAACCAGCCCTGCCCACACATTCCCTTTTTGTTACGCAGCCCCCCCCCAAGGCGTGGCTTCTCACTGCTTTCTCCTCCTCCCCTGGAGTCGCCCCATTGCCTCCCTCTGTCCTACTTGTGTGACCTGTCTGCGTTTACGAGCGTCTCTGGGGTCTTCCAGCTGTGCTTTCTCCGAGTCCGACTCAGCTTCCCAGCACAGCTGGCTCTTAGCTTGATCATGAGTGGACGGACCAGCCTCTTCATTAGTTTGTAAGTCCTGCACCTCATCAGAGCCTCCCTCCAACTCTGATGGCTCTCCAGACCTCTCCTCCTCCTCCTCCTCCTCTGATTCTCCAGACTCAACTACCGGGATCACGGAACCACAACAGGTTCCTTACCCGACTAATTAGCATCATTGGTGTTAGCAGGCAGGTAATGAAAAGTCTGCAATCAAACCGCCCAGCTCAGAGAGCACCAAGGACCCTACAGTTCAACCCCATCCTACAAATATTCTCTTCCAGATTTATATCTGATTCTACCACAAGTTTTGTTTTTGTTTTTGCCAGTTTGTGTTTCTCCGCTCCAAGATTTTGGCCAAGCGGGACTCGCAGCTGGTGCAATCCAATCCACCCAGATACAAAGTGCTTATGCTGATCATGAACACTACGGGTCTGCACCTAGTATAGTAAAAACCTCTAAGCTATTTCAGATAGTCCTCGACTTACAACGGTTCATTTAGTGACCGTCGGAAGTTACAGTGGAAGTTGAAAAAAGGAGGACCATTTTTCACACTGTCGACATTCGGATGCTTGGCAACTGACTCGTATTTATGACGGTTGCAGTGCCCCCTTTTGCGAGCTTCTGACAAGCACGGTCAAATGGGGAGGCCAGATCCACTTAACAACCAAGTTACTAACTGAAGGACTGCAGCGATCCACTTAACAACCGGGTTACTAACTGAATGACTGCAGTGATCCACTTAACTGGATTACTAATTGGATGACTGCAGCGATCCACTTAACAACCGGGTTACTAACTGGATGACTGCAGCGATCCACTTAACAACCGGGTTACTAACTGAACGACTGCAGTGATCGACTTAACAACCCGATCACTAACTGAAGGACTGTAGCGATCCACTTATCAACCGGGTTACTAAATGAAGGACTGCAGCGATCCTCTTAATAACGGGGTCACTAACTGAAGGACTGCAGTGATCCACTTAACAACCCGGTCACTAACTGAAGGACTGCAGCGATCCATTTAACAACCGGTGTAAAAAATCTCTTTCCCATAACTAGCTGACTGTATTTTTAGATTAGGTCCAGCACTGCGTAATATTCACTTCTCTCTCTCTCTTTTTTTCTTCGAAGGGGGATCACCGTACTTGGCAACCAAAATCAACGAGGCGAAAGATCTGCTGGAATCAAGCAGGAAAAATTAGAGATTTTGCACTGCGCGTCCGAAAATTTTAAGAAGCCACACTAGAACTTCTTTTGCTTTCTCGTTTGTGTAGGAACCGCAGTACAGAAACCAAACTTTGGGGCTGGTTAATAAAGTTGCAACAGACTTGAAGGTGCTGTTTCGGGAAATTCATAATCAAATCCAGTTCCAACTCTTCCAATCTCATTGACGGCCTCAGGTGGATATTATCCTGGAAGCGTAAGACCGCAATGCAGAAAAATTAGGGTTGATATTATTTTAATAAGACATAATATCCAGGTTTTTAGTTTTTCACCAGCAAAAAAAAAAAATGTCTTTGGTTTCCTTGGAAAAATCTGAAGCATTGTAGATTATCATGATTATACTGTCCAAATTCGAACTCTTGGTCCACTGTGAAAGTTAGGAAAATGGGTGCTTTGGACAGGTGAATTTCCCCCCCCTCACTCTTAGAGAAGCAGGTAGCTCCTCTTTTACCTCAGTTACCTCCTCTTTTACCTCAGTTACCTCCTCTTTTACCTCAGTTACCTCCTCTTTTACCTCAGTTACCTCAGTTAATTTTAATTTTAGAAACTTTGAAACCCAAAGTCCCAGCGAAGCAGCCTTTGCTCCATTTGTAAATGTTTTGAAAAGACCTAAAATCTTGCATGATTTTTTTTTAACGTTCCTTATGAATTCAAGGACTGGGTTACTAAATGTGGTACTCATTAAATACACTTTCCAGTTGGGGCTTTTTAAGGCGGGCACCACAATCTGTTTTTTCTCGATTCTGAGTTGCCCAGGCTTGATATAGATAGTCCTTGACTTACGACCTCAATGGGAGTCAAAAAAATTCTGTTGGTAAGTGAGACAGTTGTTAAATCAGTTTTGCCCTGCTACACAACCTTTCTTTGCTAAGTGAATTACTGTTGTTGTTAAATTAAGGACACGGTCGTTAAATGAATCCTGCATCTCCATTGGCTTTGCTTGTCAGAAGCTCACAGAAGGGGAATCACGTGACCCTGGGACGCTGAAACCGTCATAAGTACATGCCAGTTGCCAAGCCTCTGAACTTTGATCACGTGACCCTAGAGATACGGTCGTGTGAAAAACGGCATAAGTCCCTTTTTTCCAGTGCCGTTGTAACTTCAGACGGTCACTAAGTGGTCTGTGGTAAGTCGAGGACTATCTGGAAATAAATACGAGCCCGTTGCCACGCGTCTGAATTTCGATCCCGTGCCACGGTCGTTAAGGGTGAAAACTGGCCACTCTTTTGGATGCCCTCCAACGGTCACTAAAGAGACGGCCGTAAATCAAGGACTTGCCCGTATTCCTGACAATCTGAACTAATATATTTTTCCCCCGACCTTTGACAATCAGTTACTTCATTTAAAAATAAGATATTCATATTTGTGAGGTGTTTTCCACAACATCCAAACTCTCCAGTGATGTGTTGTTGTTTTCCCAGTGGCCTATTTTTTGCCTCAGTCCCCGGTTCTTAATGTGGATGGAAAGGTGTCCTCGGTTCAGTGACGGGCACAGATTTGACATGCTCAATGGAAAGGTTTTGATTTATTTTCACTAACGAGGCAGGTGTCACTGGGAAGAAAAAAACAACAACCCAAAGACACACACACACACACACTCTCGTTTCGTAACCTCCGTGCGATCTGCCTTCTTTCCCCAAAGCAAAATTGCTCCAGTAAGCCGTGAAAAATATTATTTTCGGTGGATTTTGTGGAGATGAATGTGCCGGCTGCACATTCCCAGTGGAATCCCTGCTTGCGTGGTGGAGGGGAAAGTTGTGTGTCAAAAGCTGAGGTAAAAATGAAAAGCCACCTATGCAAAATTGTTGCCGTCCCTTCTGTACTTTTAACACCCCCTCCTTTTGTGATATAAATGAGCTTCTGTTACAGGTGAATTATATGTTTGCCTCTTTGTTTCCAACTTAATTTTTTTATTCGGCCTATATTTCATTCTTCTGTTTCAAGGTTGCAAAAGGACCTTGTGGGGTTTTCTTTTTTTTTGCAATCCTGCTCAGTTTATAAATAAGATCCCTGTTTAAGTTAGGATAAGCTTGAAAAGGAGGAGGAGAGGAAGAAGAAGAAGAAGAAGAAGAAGAAGAAGAAGAAGAAGAAGAAGAAGAAGAAGAAGAAGAAGAAGAAGAAGAAGAAGAAGAAGAAGAAGGGGAGAAGGAGGAAGAAGAGGAGAAGAAGAGGAAGAGAAGGAGGAAGAAGAAGAGGAAGAAGGAAGAAGGAGGAGGAGAAGGAGAAGAAGGAGGAAGAAGAGAAGGAGGAAGAAAAGAAGAAGAGAAGAGGAGAAGCAGGAAGAGGAAGAAGAAGGAGAAGGAGGAAGAAGAAGAAGGAGGAAGAGGAGGAAGAAGAACAAGAAGAGAAGGAGGAAGAGGAGGAGGCGAAGAGAAGGAGGAAGGAGAAGAAGAGGAAGAAAAAAAGAAGGAGGAAGAGGAGAAGGAGGAAGAGGAGAAGAAGAAAAGAAAAAAGAGAAGGAGGAAGAAGAGAAGGAGGAAGAAGAGAAGGAAGAAGAAGAAGAGGAGAAGGAGGAAGAAGAGGGAGGAGGAGGAGGAGGAGAAGAAGAAGATTTCTTTATGCCTGATGTTACCTTCTCTCTCCTCTGACCTTCCCAATGAAGTTAGTCCTCTGAGCTCCTCTGATTTCAGGATCACTGTGACCCCCGAGTCCCTCACCACATCAAAATACTTAACGGGGTTCCTTAGAACCCAGAATCCTTATTACCTCTCCGACATACTCCCTCTTATCCAACCTGAATATTGCCCTCGAGCAATGGAAAGGGAAATAACCAGACGAGTGGTCCCTTCAGCCTTGCCATTAAATCCTTCAAAATCTAGAGCAGAGGTCGGGTCTCCAAACGTGGCCACCTTAAAGACCTGTGGACCTCAACAACTCCCAGAATTCCCCAGCCAGCTGAGGAATTCTGGGAGTTGAAGTCCGCCAAATCTTAAAAGTTGCCCACTTGGGAACAGCCCCTGACCTAGAATACTAACCATGGCTGAGCCTTTGGAGAAAACGTGAGCAGCCTTGTGGATGTGGATGGAGAGATGGACAGACTGGATTACGGGAAAACCCCTTTTGCCCTCAAAGAACAGCCAAGCTATAGTTTATTTCTCAATAATTTGTCAAAGGGAAGAAAAAACTCAACCCATTTGTCTGGGAGTGAGATACACAGCGAGCAGATCTCTGCTGGTTGATCAGTAAACTGCTGCTTGGTGTAAATTGCTTTGGGGGACAAATTGATCCACTAAGTGAGATGTGAAAATCTTGAGTTTTAAGGTTATAGACCATGCTTCACATTCCTTCAGTTAAATGACGGAATACAGTGTTTTTCCTTCAGGCGCAAATCAAAATGTATTTGTTCTGGACAGATTTCTTACCCCCAAAAATAGGGCTTAATTAGCGAACATGTTTCTATCGATTTCTTTCTTTCCCTGCTTACAAATTGGGACGCATCCCAGAATGAGCCAACGTGTTGAAAACTCTAAGCCACCTTAGTAGGGATACCCATGCATGCTAGATTGCGTTAAATTTAATTTTGGTCTTTCGACAATACACGGTTCAAGATAACGCTTGTTGATAACTTCCTGAAGAGGGCAATATTCCAAACCACACATTTTATACCTGGTTTCGACTAGCCAGGATTTTCTGGGTTGCTTCCAGGAGCGAAAACAAGGAACCGTTTTCCCAGAGGTTTTGAAATCTGCTATCCTCTTTAATTTCCTAAGCAGCAAAGCGACCGATCTTGATTTCCCAGGTCACCTGGAAAAGAGACGATAGAATTTTCTTAAGCCCTGGCAAATGAAGCTTAATAAGCCAATGAAGCAGACTCTTTTCAAGTTTTGTGACGTGCAAATTCAGGTTGCTTTTTTTATATCAAGTGATTCACCGGTTGCCAAACATTTTTTTTTGGGGTATCTTGGTAAGGCCACACGTGGAATACTGCATCCAGTTTTGGTCACCACGATGTAAAAAAGATGTGGAGACTCTAGAAAGAGTACAGAGAAGAGCAACAAAGATGATCAGAGAACAGGAGGCTAAAACATATAAGGAACGGTTGCTGGAATTGGGTATGTCTAGTTTAATGAAGAGGTAGACAAGGGGGGACATGATAGCCAATGTTCCAGTATCTCAGGGGCTGCCCCAAAGAAGAGGCAGTCAAGCTATTCTCCAAAGCACCTGAAGGCAGGATGAGAAGCAACGGGTGGAAACTGATCAAGGAGAGAAGCAACCTGGAACTGAGGAGAAACTTCCTGACAGTTAGAACAATTAACCAGTGGAACAACCTGCCTCCAGAAGCAGTGAATGCTCCAACACTGGAGGTTTTTAAGAAGAGACTGGACAGCCATTTGTCTGAAATGGTGTAGGGTTTCCTGCCTGAGCAGGGGGTTGGACTAGATGACCTCCAAGATCCCTTCCAACTTTTATTATTATTATTATTAGCCACGCGGGTTTCACAGAATACTATCCAGAGTGTAAAGATTCAAACACACTCACCACAATTTCCACTGTGCTTTTACACGGAAAGGGAAATCGGCACATTATTTCTGAGTGAGGAAAGACTTGGAAAACTTTTGCAAAGTTCCAAACCTGGATGATTCTCGAATGAGCAAAACCGATGATACAGCAGGGCAATAGGAAATGTGTCCATTTTTTCCTCCCCCATTTTTTTTGTGCTGTTTATTTTTTCAGGGATGCTTTGTTTAGCTACAGATCTCCCACGGGTATCCAGAGAGTTCGCTCTCAGCCGGTTGCACAAATCTTCACAATTTTGTCTTCTCCGTGGCTTAATTCATCTTATCTGGTGGAAGAATGAGCCAAGTTGAGAATTGGAGATTTGATTGACGGGTAAAGGGGAGAGAATGAGAAGGAAGGACTCAATGGAGAAGAGCCTAATGCTGGGAAAGACGGAGGGCAAGAGAAGAAGGGGACGACAGAGAAGGAGGTGGCTGGATGGAGTCCCTGAAGCAGGAGGCGTGAGCTTAAATGGACTCCAGAAGATGGTGGAGGACAGGAAGGCCTGGAGGAGATCAACCCTGACTGCTCTTTAGAAGGCCAGATCCTGAAGTTGGAACTCAAGTACTTTGGCCACCTAATGAGAAGGAAGGTCTCACTGGAGAAGAGCCT